CCATAATAAAACTAGTTGAGTTTTCCTTTGTTATTGAAAAATTACATGTATGTGTGCTTGTGTCTCTCCTTTAAAGTTCTTACCACATCCAGAAAAAGCAGGAAACGGTAAATGCTGCTAAGGCTTCTTGTAGTTGCTGTGATTCTTGGAAAATAAGTCACTGGAAAAAGGTCATTTTCTTGACTATGCTAGTTGCTTTTCCCAAGTTCCTCAGATTGCAGGGCTATATCAATCCTTAGAGGCTAGACAAATGTGGAGGCTAGGGGGCACTCACCTGTGGTTCAGGGGTGACATGCTGCTTCTAGAAACAGGTTATTTACCTGGTGTGGTGGAGGTTTTCTAGCCTATGTGGTGAAGGTAGATAATATGTTAAATACCATTTAAAAGTTCAGAGTGCATTGTGTAAGAGAGCACTGAATAGCCAAATCCCTATCCTGCTAAGTATGAATGGATTTTCTCCTGTTTGTTACACACAGTTTTTCTCAGAAGCAAAATCCAGTCAGATTCATAGTTTTTTTTGTTTTGTTTTTTTTTTTTTTTTTTTTGGTTTTTCTCCGGTACGGGAACCGAACTCACGACCTTGCGCTTGCCAGGCAGGCGCTTTTGCCGCTGAGCTAAATCCCCAGCCCCAAGATTCATAGTTAAATATGGACATTTTGGGTTTTCTTTTTTATAAAAAGCATATCCTGAAACAACTATTCAATTACTCTGTGCTGCCTCATTTACAAAGTTGAAGCAATTATACCAGAAGGTAATTATAGACAAGAAATGGGTACTTGCTTATTTCTAAATCATGGCAACTTGGTTGGATATTAATCTTGGCAGGTATTTATGGGAGAAGAGAAACTGCTGTTTAAACTTGTTTTATGCCAATAAATAAAATCAGCTTCCATTACATTTCTTAACTGAAACATGGATATATTTTCTAGTGTTCTCACCGAACCCCTCATCACCTATAACCAGAATTGCTCTGCTCTGACCTCCCTGTTTCACACATTTGTTCTCTTTTAAAAATATCCCAGTTCTCAAGCATCCCAGGGGCTGGCTGGATCCTGAGAGGATGTTTGATAAGCCAGTCCTTGGCTCAGAGTTCCTAAAATAAACTTCTAACACGTTTTGAGAAAACCTTCCAGTTTCCTGAAAGTTTCCCTTGGTGGCATAGTAGAACGATGAGTTCCAGTCTGCTTCTTAAGCCTTACTTCTCTTTTGAATGGGTCTCTTCTGAGGAGAACTCAGGGTCTTCCCATGTCCTGTCTCCTTCCTCAACTCTGGAATAGCTGGTTTCTCTTAGGATCTAAATCAGGACATCACAACAGTATCACCATTCCTAAGACCTTGGGCTTGTCAGTGTTGGACCAATTATTTTTCTGTGATGGAGATTAAAAGCCTTATATTTTTTTGCTGTTTGAAAGCATATTCTAAGATACATTTCAAAGTGTTATATGGGTGGATCTGAAAAGCCGCTCTAAATTTTGATGATTAAGATTATTTCCTACAGACTGGGAAGGAGGAAGGTAAAGAGAAATGAAGGAAATCATGTCCAGATGCACACTCAGCCACTCCTAGGAAATGATCCATGAGTGAGATACAGTTTATTAAAATAGAGAATAATGATTTAGGTCACAATTTCCAGGGTGAGTTGCATAGAGAAGAGATTCCAAAACCTTAATGAAATAAGGCTATATTAGACCTCTCACTTCCCTCGCTCTCTCAGACTTCTTAGGAGAAGAAACAAGATGAAACTCTACTTCTTTCTGCTTCCTCTCTCTGCTCTTATTTCTCCCACTTCCTATGTTCAAAAGCCTAAATCCCCTATCACAATGCATTTTTATGGCCCAGACCCTCCAGGGAAAACCCAGTTGTGTGTGCCCTGATGTCTCCCAGGTCCTGCAGACAATGTTCAATGGAGGACAGCTGCTATCTGACTGCGGTCACTCTGCTTGGTCTTGGGGAGAGAGGCAAAAAGTCAGTTCCCAGCTGATCTCATCTCTTTCGCACTATATCAAGTGCGGAAGGGAGTGGCTGGAGATGCTCCAGATGACCTTGGTGGTCAAGTTAGATGCAATATTTTGTTTTGTTTTGCTTCTAATCAGCTAGCACATAGAGACAGCAAACACTTAGCAAGTTGTTGCAAGCTTGCTAGATTGAAGATGTGCTGAGATGAAGTCCTAAGTGAACCCTAACTGGGAATAAAAGAATCCAGCTTCCAATCTTAATTGGGCCTCGATGTCCTCATCTGTAAAGTGAGGTAGCAGAACTACATGACCTCCAGAAGGGGCTGTTAAGGTATGGGAAGGGAAGGGATCCTGGATTGAATTCAAGTCCATGGATGCTTTGAAATGTATACCGGATTGTGCGTGCGTGCTTTCACTGAGGCTGTCTGCCCTCAAAACACATCAGGAATCAAGCCTTTTTCAAACTCTAAAATTTTTCTACATGACTTTTAAAAAAACTTAAGTGCTGTCATTAGTCTAGTTGGGATAGTGAAATTTTAATATTTTCAAATGTGTCTTGATGAACAAAAATCAGGAGTGGATTAAGTCTTTTTTAGAACTAATCCTTGAATGCATGTTTAAAAAATTAAACCAGGCAATATGCAATGTACTAACCATTGTTATTCTCCTACCATCTTATTTTGAAATATTATACCATTGTTTTATTGTTTATTTTTCTTTTCTTTAAAATATAAAAATAAAAAACCAAAAAAATTAATGCAGGCATTGATTATAAAGTAATTAAATTAACCAAGAAAATAATCGGCTATAATTCTCTATAGATTTTGAAATGTTTTAGCCTTTGAAAAACCAGGCTTTATAATTGAAGAAGTAGACTAATGATCTTATAGTCTTAAGTATGTGTGCATGCAAACCTAGACTGAAAATACTTTGTCTCCAAAACTAACAAAATGACCATAAAACTTTTTTTCTTACAAGTTTGAAATTTGAAGTGGTCAATTATAGATAGTGCAGGTGCTGCTGTTTTGTTTTGTAGTAGTAGGGATTAAACCCAGGGACTTTCTACTAGGTTTTATCTGCGTTTTTTGTTTTGTTTTGTGCTTTGAGATAGGTTCTCCCTAAGGGGCTACATTGCCCAGGCTTGGCATGAATTTGTGTTCGCCTGCCCTAGCCTCCCAGATTGCTGGGATTAAACGTGTGCAGTAACATTCTTAAGGAAATTTAAAATGGCCTTGAAGTATAATTTGTTTTTAAATCATAAGAACATCAGTTTCTTTTTGGAAAGTGATCTATAGATTTTTTTTTTAGCATCAAGAATTGGAGATTTATATTCTGTTTAGAATTCTGGAATCTGGACAATACTATTACTTAGCTGTTTTGTCTATGAGAATTTCTTAATTTATTCTTATATTTCTGGTCTTTAATTTCCTTTCTGCACTTGAAAAGTAAAGGTAGTGAACTAAATGTCCTCCAGATCCCTCTTTCCTCAATGATGCACAAATGTACTTGGGATTGTAGATGTCTTATAGAACACACATGGCTCTCCTGGAGCTTGATTTAGTGGACAAGGTTGTCCTTTCATTTTTCTTTCTTGTCCCTAGTTTACCTCAATGCTCCTAAAATCTAAATACATCAATAGGTATGAGAGTTTAATTATAATAGATTTCCCCTTTCTTTGTGAATGATATGGCTTTCAAAATGAGCATCTCATTTTCCTATAGTTATAATAAAGCAAATTTCACTGGGACCATGAAAGAATTCTCAGATTGATCCAGACTGTTTGTAAACCAACATCACAGCTGACTGAAAAGGGAAAGCTTGGTTAAATTGACTTAGCCTGGTTCCCAGGGTTTCCTGGGCATTAAGCAATATCTGAGAGTTAAGTCTGTCACCTCAAGAAGCAGCAATAATTCTCTGATTCACTATAGTCTCATCTAACATGTTGCTCTATAAACTAATACGTATACAGATCATATAACAGTTAATTCTCCTTCTAAGTCACCACACTTATAACTCAGGATGTAACACCTTTGGGATGTTGTCAGTTTTAAAGTCTCTCCTTCCAAGTGGTTGCTTACATGACCACTGGCTATGTATTCTTTACCTTTTAGAAAATGATTTTGGATGTCATTCTGATTTGACGCAAATATGGTCAGTTTCATTTGAATATCTTGATACTGAGGAGTTGGATAATATGCTTTAAAGAGGACAGTTTCCCCTACTGTGAGCAAAGCACATTTCCTAAGGACCACTTGCACTGCTTCAGTGGTAGTGATTCTGAACTTTGTGGGAATGCCACTCATGAACGCTCCTATCTGAAAGGTAGTGTCACTATGTAGAGGACAGTGAAGAGAGGAAGGGGTTATCTCAGTCCCCACTTGTATTCACAAAAGTTTATAATTTATAGACATAGAGTTCTGCAAAAGACTACCTCTGATGACAGAAGGCATCTAACAATGTCATCTTATCAAAATCTACCACTAAGTTTATAGATGGGAAAAGGACCTGATTGGAAGGAATACCTTTTCCCAAAGTTGTATTTTTTAAGTGATTGGAAATTCCAAACATTTCTGAATCATGGTCTCATGACATCTCCTGATCTATGCACAGACCCATGGGGAAGGAAACTACTTAATACTGCCCTTTGTGTAGTCTCTGAGCGTTTCAGTTCTCACTTGCCTAAGTTGTGTCTTACACCAAAATTACTTCTAAACACACAAAAAATTGATGTTAAAAGCAGCAGACTACTGATGTTAAAAGACAACAGTTTTTACAGTTTTCTTGTTACTAACTAAAGTCCTGAATGGTATTTGCTAAATTGCTTCTGCTGGAAGTTAAAGTACTTATTTTGCTAATGTTCTAGCAGATAGAAATACTTAGAATATCTCAACTTTTCATTTAAAATAAATTCTTAAAATGTGATATAGTTCAGGTTGTTAAGGACGATTTGGCGACCATTTATCCAGTGAGCAGTGCTTGGCTTCTCTTCCTCTTTTAAAACAAGGCCGTTGTAGCTCTCTCTACTCTCACTGCTGCTGACTCCTATTCAGTGCCAAAATATACACTTTAATAATTGTTTCTAATACCATAGTAACTACAGAGAGATACAGCAGTACCTTATAACTGTTTACAAAGGATCAAATTTGATGCCAAATAACAGAAAAGCACAGTTTTGGGGACAAATTAAAAATTAAATACACCAGGGTAGCTGCTTGGGAAAATGAACAGTATATAATCTAATATCTTTAATTTTATGTACATGGATATAATGCATGTCAACTTTGTACATGAGATAATACAGTATTTAAACATTTTACTCAACAAATAAGAATTTACAACAGCAATATAACTGACTAGAGGGCTGTCCACTTAATAATACTTAGATTAGATCTGTACTTTAATAGGAAAAGAATTTAATAGTTTACAATCATAGAGACACTGACATTTAAAACAAGATTTTATAAAATAATTTATATATATTCTAGCATCTATAGAGAGGAATGTTTTGCATTTGTGGATGTGTGCAATGAATGGCATATTTTAAATTTTTAGGTAATAAAATAATTTAGAAGCAGTTCATGCAGTGGTCAAAGCAAGGGATGGCAGTTCCTTCAAGATGTCCTCTATCTTTGACATCAACAACATCAGACACAGACTAGGTACCAAGGGGGTACACTAGAACAAGTCTCCTCCGGGCTTTTATAAACATCAGTATACACGTGCTGATATCCTTCCTTCCAAAGGTCACCATTTGTACCAGTCACAACTTTTTTCAGCTGTGTGAATACTCAGTCTGTAGGTAAAATGATTCGAAGTCCTTCCTGGGGTTCTACATAATATATCTCTATACCAGGTGACTAACAGAACTTCCTGGTTTTCACGATTTTACTCTGATACTTCACTGAGTGTCCCCCATGTCCTATGACATAAACATCCAGCAGGTAAGATTTTCCAGGCTGAAGATCTTTAATGGTTTCTGTAGTCACTGCTTTCTGCAGGTTCTGGCTATGAAAATATTTACAGAGGACTTTTTCGGATTTCTTCCTCGTGTCTGGTCCTAGGCATTGGTTTTGCTCTCTTTTCTTCTGGTCTGCATTGTAGCTGTCATCCACTTCTTTTTTGTAGATGCAGAACTTGTTCCTCTCCTGGGTGCCCAGCCAGGCCACTGTGGCTGAGGAACAGGTGCGGAGCTTATCGAAGGCTTTGATCCTCGTGTCTTCAGGAAGAGAGGGGAAGGACTGCTTACTAGGCCTGGTGGTGGCTAGAATTTTCAACATAGATGCTCCTTTCTTGTTTCCTTTCAGTCGAATGAGATACTTTCCTTTGGGTTTTCCCCTCAGCTGAAACTGCCGGATGCCTTCCACGTTCTGAGACAGAAGAAGTTTCCCATCTCTTCTCACTTGAATCTGGACAGCATCCAGGCAAGAGTGAATAAAGATGGTGACTTTTTGGTGAGAAGACACTGGAGCAAACCGGAGAAACTTTGCTCCCTTCCTTTTAACAAATACGTCTGTCACTTTCCCATCTTTGAGCTCCACGGTCTTCTGCTTTGCTTCTTCCTTGGTCCTGGCAAAGGTACCCACATAGGCGGTGCTTGTGTTGCTGTTGGTGTTGACCACAAAGATGTCAAAGTAGTACTGTGTGTCAGGCTTCAGGTCAGAAACGGTGAAGATGTTCTTGTTTCCGATGCAGATCTGCTGGATGTCAACCTTGGGCCTCGAGTAGACGTGCCGCCCCAGTTTTGGAGAAGGCTTTACCAGGTAGCTGCGTTCTTTACCCAGATTATCTGAGGGAAATCCAAAGTGGGCAAAGTCAAAGGGGCTGAAATCCAGCCCGGGTTTTGGTGCCATCATGAAAGCATCGTCCGCACTCAGCTTTGCATCCACTGCGCAGAGACTTTTAAAGTTGTGTTCTCTGTTGATGACCACACAGTACTGGATGGGTTGTTTCAGCAAAGAGGCTGTGGGGCTCGGTTTCCAAGCCAAAGTGACTGTGGTGCACCCCAGGGAAGTCACATCTACTCTGGGGTCATACGGTAATTCAGGGTACGGCTGATCTGACTCTGGAGTAGTGGTGGCATATACTTTGAAATGTGTGTCTTTTTCTGTTGAAAGAAGCTCCAATTGATATAACCCAGATGGAGAGCTAGAAGAGATGAAATACTCCACATCATTGCCCTTGTAGGAGAACAACTCTGTGCCTTCCTCATTAATGATCTGTTGCTTCTGCTGCTCAAGAGGTTCGGGGTCACCTGGAAGGGACGAGAGAAACGCAGGCTGGGTGTCACTCTGGGCTTGCAACCTCAAATCCTGTTTCCAAGCTTATCTTACCTTTTCTACATTTTAAAGACAATATATGTCCATAAGAAAACAGGATATATAGGGAAATAACAAGGTGAAAGTCATCCATTAATTCATTATGCCGAGACAGTGCTTTATCACAACTTCAACTTATTTCTGCCTACTCTTTCCTATTTTTATGCAGTTGATACTATTTTCACTTATTTTTCTCGGTACCTTAGTAACATTTATTTTCATGCATACATGTATCTAGACAAACCTCTACTTTTTGAATCCTGTTTTCCCACTTAATATATATCAAAAAGTAATACTGTTGATTTTTGACCATAAATAATGCCCTTACATATGTATAAGGCTTTTTTGTATTTAAATTATTTCTTCTTCTTTTTTTTTTTTTTTTTTTTTTGTCTTTTTAGAGACAGGATCTCACTATGCAGTTCAGGCTGGCCTTGAGCTCACTTTGTAGCCCAGGCTGGCCTTGAACTCACAATGATCTTCTTGCCTCAGCCTCCTGAGTGCTGGGATTACAGGCGTGCGCCACCACATTAAATTATTTCTTCAGAACAGCATGCAATTAGTGGAATTTTTGGATCAAAATTGATAATGTTAATCCTGACTGCCAATCTACTTACTGAAGGAGTCCTATCAGTTTATATTTTGATGGTCAACCTTTTCACTATTGTTAGCAGGATTGGACAATCTTATTGACATATAGAATATAAAGCATCAGAGTAACTAAGAGTCAGTTTCCAGAATGCGTATCTAGGATTAATACAGAGGAGATAATGGAAGTTAATTGTACATCTTTTACTTATGTCAACATTGGCTATCACATAGATGTCAGTGTGTAGATACCTAGCCAGAAGCTGGTGAAAGACTGAGTAACCAGAGTGGGAACAAACTTTTTCCAGCTCATCACTGTAGGCTGAAAGTGAGGTACACAGAATTTTGTATTCCTGAACTATGTGGTGAACACAATCAGCACAGGACTGTTACTGTAAGTTCATTTTCTTTATCTAAGTCTCCTCACTCCCTCCAGCCATTTCCACTGTTTGTGAAGTGTGACGTTTGCTGTCCTTTGTGAGCCATATCTTGCCAAGTGCTTTACACAACACCAGTTGTCCAGGCTTCACCTGTGAGCTATGATGCTCTTAAAAGGGCCAGCCTCACTCCAGGGCCCATATATACTCTTCTCATTGCACTTGCATCTCACTCTTTGTTTTCCATTATCTACATCTTCCTTAATTGCAAACCCCTCCTCCTACTGACTTTCTTTTCTTCTTGGTCTTTGCCACTAAAGGCTTCTCTGCTCCTCTGTTTGATTATTCCCCAGAGGTCCTTAAACTTGGCTGCATACTAGAATAGTGTATGGGGAGCTTTTGCAAATTTCAATGTCCGAACTACACCTCATAGTAATTAAATCGAAACTTTGAGGGGAAAATCCAGGCCTCAACAATTTTTAAAGCCTTGCAGGTGATGGGAATGTTCAGACAAGATTGCAAACGACCATCACAGAAGTCAAACCTCTTGGCTTTCCCCTAATCCTTCACACTGCTACCTGCCTTTCCTAACCTTTTGTTTCACCAGCATCAGTGTTATCCTTCTCCCCTATCTCCGCCTCAGCCTCCAGCTTCACCTGTGCATCCCGCACCTGTGTCAATTTCTCTAATTTGGAGAGGGCTCTATACTTCACAAGCCACTGATGCATCCACGCAGCGGCCCAAGGCCAGCTCTGTCCTCTGCTTACCTGAGCCTTCCCCACTGGTCTCCTCAGGCAGCTCCTGGAGACTCAGCTTCCACTCCAAAGGTGCGTCACAGGGAGTCACTGTGACTGACAGTGGGGTATTGTCCTCTTCAACTACAAAGAAATACCTGTAGGAAAGTGGACCAATTCAGAGCATGATAATTCTAATACTAAAAATCAAGACTTACTGGAAAAATTGTTTCATATTTATTCCTTTAACAGAGTAAAATTGGCTGCTCAGCTCAAAACATAATACAGCCTTCACTGTGGAAGTCCAATAGTCCCAGGAGGGCTGGGGATTTAGCTCAGCGGCAAAAGCGCCTGCCTGGCAAGCGCAAGGTCGTGAGTTCGGTTCCCGGTACCGGAGAAAAACCAAAAAACAAAAACAAACAATAGTCCCAGGATTCTGCAACCAGATTTGGCATTAACAAATAAGATGTGAAATCATAAAAAGACATGAACCAAAAGAATTCTGAGTTAAAAGTCAACCCACACTTGTATCTAAGTACTACTTAAAATGGGTCCTGCCATTGGAAAGTAAGTCATAATCAAGAAGAATTCCTGGGTGTGGGGCCTTACAAGCATTGTGTTTTCTATAAATTTGGTGATAAGTTTGCACATTACCCTCTGCTTGTCTACTATTTCAACAGGTCATTTTCACAGCAACCTAGTTCTGAAATGTATATTGATTTATGGCAAGATAACACAGCCTTCGCAGTATCACATTAGCGATTTTTATTCAAATTTACTATTCCATATCCTTTTGGATAAAAGGATCTAATCACCATTTGAAGAATAACTTTTAAAAGTAAAGATACCTGTGTCCACCAGTGAAAAGACACATTTTTCTATTATTTTTTTCACTAACATTTCCTACTGAATTAAATAAATTAACAGTTTTAAAGCAGAGTTTTAAAAAATCAAGACATTCAGCTCTGTGCATTTCCCTCAGACTTTTAAATGATGCATTCAAGACTTTTAGGGAAAATAAAAATATTGCTGGACTATGAAGATGTGGTGTACTCTTACTCCAAGTAACTGAGATGATTTCGTGTAACTGTCTTTCAGAGCCCATACTCACTATGCAAAGCAGGAGTTGTGGTTTCAGTGCTTGAAGCCCAGAGCTCTGCTCCCTTCTCAGTAAAATTTCTGGTCATTCTGGGCAAAAATTTTGGGGTCATTCTTCACTTTCTTTTCCTTTCCACTCCACATACAGTGGATGAGCAGACACTTGTTTGATTCCACTTTTAAAATATATTAGAACCTATTTCTTTGTTATATGATCTGCCTGTTTCCACCTGCCTGATCCAAACCTCCCTTATCTCCTACCCAAGTCTTGCAATAACCTCCCGACTGGTCTCCCTCACCCGGTTCATCTACTCCTCCCCATCTAAGCAGAGTGACCCTTGCAAACCTTCTAAGTAGCATTCCTCCTTGCTCCAGCCCTCCAGAGCATAGTTCAGAGTATGAGCCACAAAACTTCTAATGCTTCACAATTCCTTCATGTTCAGACTCCAAGAAAATCTCTAAACTCTTCTTTCACTTTCTCTCCCCATCCAGCTTCTTATGAATTCCTGCCTCTGTGTGCTTGCTGTTCTTCTACTTGAGGGACTCCTCCTCCAGGCAGTGGCCAGACTGCCTTTAGCTCTTGACTCAAGCCCCGTTTCCATAGACCCACTTTGCTCCCTTATGTACAATATCACTTTCTTACCATGAAGCTCTTTTTTATCCGATTTTCTTCAAAACACTTATATACCTATTGTACATTTCCTTCATTATTATTCCATCTCCTTCAACTAGAATGAATGCTGTAAGCAGTTAAGACACTTGATTCATTGATATAGACTAGTGGCCCAAAGAATTCATGAAATATTTGTTGAATGAATCAATGAATTGCTATTTACAAATTCACCTCCAGATATTTTACTGTTTCCAAAACATTCTTTATATTGCACCAGAATTATTTCTTTAAAAAGTAAATACAGTATGTGATTTCAGCTTAAAGCCCCTCTGTAACTGTAGATTTTAGCTTTGGGGGAAAATCCATAATTATTCCTCAGTGGCCTGGTCCTACCCACTGCCCCAGTCTCTTGCCCTGGCCCCACCTCTTTACCTCTCTGTACTTCGATCACAGAGGACTTCTCTTGCTTCCCAAACCCCACCCCATCTGAGAGCCTTTGGGATGTGGATGTAGTTTTCCCTGTCTGGAGTTCACCACTTGGCCGCAACTCATGTAAGTGTTGCTTCTTCAGAGATATCTCTGCTGGCTCAATCTGGATCAGGGCCGCAAATGTTCTCACAGTATCCTACAACCTTAACTCCCACCACTTCCTACAATATACACTCTGAGTATACATTTGTATGATTTTTCAAATTAATGTCATTTCCCAAGGGGCCCAAGGGTTATCTTTCCATGTCAGTGTATTGCCAGCACTAGCACAGATTTCTCCATGTAGCAGGTACTAGATAGACATTTTTGAATGCATGAATTACTGCATTCATAAAGTCAAGAATCTTAATGCTACTCTCATTAATGGAGCTGGAGAAGATGTGTATCGGCAATCTCTTTCTATTTGAAGATACAGGATGTGAATGAAACTTATGTTTTTTTCTCCTTACCCCTGATGAATATAGAGATAGAGAGTTGGGATTGGGGCAGTGGGAGGGCAAATAAACCAAAGACCCTACAAAAACCAAACAACTTGTTTACAAAATAGTAGACAATCATCTGGATGCAATAACTCATCACTGAGCTGCTTATTGCAGTTCTTTGTACCTGAACCACCCTTGAAGAAGTGTCAGAGGCTTAATTTTTAATACAGCCTACTTTGGGGGAGAATTTTTGTTCCTTTGGCCAGGCTGAATGTGTGATGTTAAGCACAACAACACAGCTAAATCTACTTGTATGACAGAGAAAGAGATACAACAAAATAATTTACTTGGCTTTATGTAGGTGAAATAGCATTCAAAACTTCTTGTTTGTTTTGGGATCATGTGAGTAGCATATGAAACAGACTTTAAAGTAGAAAACAATGGGCAAGTTCCTCTGCAACCTTTCCTTTCAAGCAGGTAAGTAGTTTATCTCGAGTAAGCATCTGTGTCTTAGTAACTTACATAAAGGCCATAGACAACTAATAACAGGTACAATGCTTCCCTTCCACATGATAATTCTTTCCATAAGCAGCAGAGAATTCTGTAGGGGCCTGCGATGGTGAACCTTCTAGAGCTTTCGATGATATCAAAGCACCAGCTTGAGCACCCATGCCATAGGTTTGCCACTGCTGCATGTAAGCTAATATTTTCATACTGAAGCATTTATGGTGAGGGATAAATGATAATGTGAATAAACATAACAGCCGGGCAGGGATTTATTGTCTACCCTGCACAAACACATGGAAAAGAGTGGCAATCAGAGATGACAGCATGTGGTCTCTGTTCAGATACTTTCCAGTGCCAAAGGCTGAGGGATAAACATACCATTAGACATTTAGCTTTTGAAATTTATGCATAGACAGAAGAATAACTGATCAATTTGTTGTCTTTTTTGTGTTCACTACTGCTAAATTTTATCTGAAGTTTCATCTTGGCCTGGAACATCAGTAATGATTATGTGTGTTTACCTTCCATGACCCTCTGCCCCCCCAGTGATGATCCTTGTAGCGTGACCTAGCTAGTGTAAATAAGCACCTCACTCAGCTGTGGATATCAAGGGCCTCCATAATTATTTTGGGCAACAAAAATAAAGGTTAAACAAATGAAAGATAAAAAGGATGGGAGGGAAGTAATACTTTCTAATATGTCATAATAAAACACTACTTCAAAGCAAAAGTTAAGTGTAATTTTAACACTACTTTTAAGGCTAAAACATTTAGCTTTTGAGATACTGGATGACCAAAGAGGATAAGCTGTTCATTTGATTAGGTGATTCGATTCTATACTGTAGAATGTAGGATTTAAAGAGTACAGCAAAGAAAGCAATGTATAAGTACATGTGGGAAATGAAAATGATTCCTAAAGAAAACTTTTGATTTGTTCTGATTCACTCAAAAATCTGAAGCGACAAAGCAATATGGAAAGCAAACTGTGCAGTGAGAATTCAGTTAACCATAAAGATTAATTTGCAGTCCCGGAACTGCTTTCTATATCCGTTCCTGTTTGTCAGACTGGACTGAGTCTTTGTAAGGACTGAGACCGCAAGTTCCTTCAGTGTGATCACCTTTTCACTTCTTGCCTTCATCTGTATGAACGCCATTTAAAGATTAGAATTATTTTAGTTCAAATCGGTTCTTAGTTTAGTGTATTCTTTCAAAAATTATTTCACTCAGACAGTGAAAACCACATATTACTTCGCTTCTGTCAAAATAGAGAAACTGATGATCTGCCCTCATTCTGCTTGACCAAACGGTGATAACAACTGGACATTAACTGAAGAGGTTAACACCACCACCTCTCCTCATTACTGTTAGGGCCAGGGATATAGCTCAGCAGCACAAACACCTGCCTGGTAAGCTCAAGGTCCTGAGTTTGATTCCTGGTACCAAAAGAAAAAAATCACCATTACTGTTGCTCAAACTCAAAAAGTTATTTAAAGATCTGGTACATCCCAATTTGGGGAAAATGAAGTTTTACTTCTTAGAATGCTAATGTGTCTAGTTAAAAGGAGAAATTTTTTTAAAAGGAGCAATTGTTTTTGAAATGTAATTATTCAGAGCTTAAGTACGAAAGGTACAGAGGGTTAGAGGATTGTAAAGTAAGTACTAGTACATATCACTGGTTTGTAGTACATATTGTTTATATATTTTTTCTAAAAATATTTGGAAACACTGTGTGAGCCCATTTGCTGATGTTGGAGTTAAGGAAATGAACACAGTTTTTATGATCAATTCGATTTTCTTAGAATCTGATAATATTTGTTAAGGAAATATTATCTTTATAAAACTTCATGTACATCCTTGAAGAATCATATATTAATTTCATTTTAATCCTACAGAGTCTTTCTTAGAAAAACCCTAGTATGCTGAAGATAAGGAATAATCATTGCAGAATGTAAACAATGCAACATTGCCTCCTCCACCCAAGAGGAGACCACAATCAACAAGAATCAGCCTCAATTTTGATTAGAAGTTGCATTGGCACTTTTCTTTCTTACTTAGAGAAAAGAGGTAATGCTGCTAAACTAAATTACATCTGAAAAGTTACTTTTTTTGATGAAGGCAACTTTTGTGAGCTTACTGATACAGAAAGTACGGCAGGAAGAATACCTTTTAGGTGTATCTCTAAAGAGATAACCGCTAATTTCAGCTCCGTCTGGAATGACTGAGGAGTCATGAAAAAATGCTTTGTCCCGGATCTGCATCTGGAAAAGCTCCTCATCTCGAGTGGGCAGCTTCTGGGTCCTTGAGGCGAGGGGTACCAGCAGCCACAGCAGACACCAGTAGGGCAGCACCATCCTGGGGCAACAGAAGTGATCACTTGGGTTAGCTCTGCAGGCACACATTCAGGCAAGTCTGAAACTTCCCTAAGTGTCCACACAATTTCAGCTGTGATGGGAACGTAGGGATATACAATGTGTCTTGGAAACATGCACGTGATCTTGAAGGCAGCTCTTCTGTGTTTATTTTTTCTTCAAATTATTTCATGATGTTAAGAAAGAATTTTCCAGAACTTCAAACATTAAATAGATTTTGAAATGAAAGACAGTTGATGCCTAAATTTCCCTGAATATTTAGAGAGGAAATCCTTACCTCATTATGGCAGAAGACAATCTGGTCATTATAGATAATGTCCTATCAGTGTCTTAAAACTTGAACGAGGGTGATCATTTAGAGGCAGTCCTTTCAGCCATTATGAGTTGTGCCAATGCTTGGTCAGACTCACTGCTCAGCAGTCACATTATTAATTGCTGCTATGGTTAAACTGTTACTTTCAGCATGTGTCCCAAGACCCACTGAAAGCCAGAAAATGAGCAGTATGGTATTTTTCTTCTTCCTTAAAATTTGACTAAAGAGTCTATATAGCAATATGTTTCTCACAAAATCAGATTTTCATAAATCAGAAAATGTTTGGAAATTAAAGTTTCACTTCCTCATAGGTAAAGCAATTTGTCCAAAATCATTAAGTGAGCTGTTTATTGATATCTAACTGTTATAGATTTCCAGACTCTTCAGTATTTACTCTAAAGCTCCAACAAGTTGGAAAATGGGCTTTAATTCTCACTCTCAGAAGCCAAGACAGACCTTGGAAAGTCGTCTGTTTAAAACATTGGCCTTACCCCCTGTCGGTGTTTCACTGAGCTACGTTCTGGCATTCGTCACTAACTTCCACCAAAGATAAGTGACTAAGGGTCAGTCTGTAGTGCTCACTGCTGTAGTAATGTTGTCAAGGACAAAGTTTTCTATGCGTCTGTTTTCTTGTGGTGAAGTCCTAGGCATTAGTGACAGGCTTTGCTTCCCTGGATGATTTGGTAAATTTTTTTTCTTTCTCACAGAAAGAACTATGTGAGGAATTATTTTCTCTTACCTATTTGATTTAGAATACATCAGGGAATTCAAGCATTACAAAAATGTGGTCTTTTTTTTCACATTTAAGTACTTTAGTGAGAAAGTTAAATGTAAATATTTGCAATAATTTCAAATGAGGTAAATGGCAGTTTTATTTTAAAGGTATTACTAGAGAAGTGATGAATTCACCTCTATGAAAAACATCATCTGACTTTAATTTTTCTTTCTTTTATCAAAAGTGTAGTCAGATAATTAAGCAATTTAGAAAGGAGTAAACATTTTCTTTTTTAAAATGATAGGGTGGGTAGTTTTTCATTATATTCTGTCAATATGTCTCCTCTGCCTTTTGTTTTGTAGTGTAGTTTTCCATTTAAAATATCTGCAGTTATTGAGAGTGTGTATAAAACTAAATTCACTAACTGCCTTACCATACTTACACAATTACTCTGTCTAGTTGGTACTATTCCTCTATAAAAATAAATTTTCATTACAAAACCAGAGAAAGGATACAAATCCAGTGAGTCTGACTGCAAAACCCAAACTTTCACCCTCAGTAATATCTCTCAGGAAAGCCATATTAATTTCTTATTTCCCATTCCTACTGTTAGGTGAACTGTAATTAAAAGAAAAGTTGACTGAACAGTAAGAAATATGACCTTTGGTTTCAGCCCATAAATAGATATAAAATCTTTGGCAACTTAGTTGGCCATTCCAGATGTCAGTTTGCTGAAGAGTTTATTCAAATGGACAATGGATCTGTGACTGAATACTGAACTCTTCTTCACGACCAGCTGGCACTTAAGGAATAAGACCAGCCCCCTTGAGCTTCATTAAATGACCTGTCCTTCAGATGTCCAGGTGATTTTCAAGGAGAAATCCAAGGGAAGTTGGGGATGTAAGTAAAAGCTCCTGTGAGTTACTCATAGTAAACAAATGTTATGTCTATTAGAAGTGGCTGGATGTACCAAAATCAAAGACAGTTAACTTGTTCTAAGCAAATAGGGACATGGTAGACTGAATTGGATAGGGCCTGTACCTACCACCCTCCATCCTTCCCCTCTTCTGTTCTTCCTGGAGCTAACAGAAATGGAAAATCTGAATAGCATTTGATTTCACTAAATATTTAAAATTATGTGCCCTAGAAATATTTATCTGAGCAAAATAGAACATATTTAGTTTACTTATGCTTGTAGTACCATCCCCAAAATATTGACTGCTGAAAGCAGAACAGGCCAGACAATTCTTTTTTAAAAGTCCTTTTAGAAGTGGTTAGGATTTGGCTGTCTGCATGGATGAGGACCAGAGGGCAAGTATACCCCTGGAACACTTCTGTGTGGGATACTTGGGCACATTTGCCCTGGAGCTACTTAAAGGCAGCCCTACCTCATTAGGTGCCCTTAAAGCTGTCATCTGCGGTGCCCCTGGATAACGCAGGCCAGCTAAGCTGCCCAGCACCCCAGGATATTCAGGGTATTCGGGTTGTTTAGGTCAGGCCCAGAATCAGAGAAATAGATAGTCATTATTGGCAGGCGTGTCACTGACATCTTCAACTGCTGTTGAGAACGGATTTCTCTTTATTAAATCAGCTATTTATAATATATGAATTTCAAGGTAATAAAGTTAATAAATATTGCTGTGTACATGCTGTATACCAGGCACTTTTTAAAGTGTGTTATATGTATTATCTCATCTAACAGCACTAACATCCCTGTGATTTAGGCGCTATTATTATTTTCATTTTAGAAATGAACAAACCGGCCTAGAATGGTAAGGACACATAGTACATGCTATATGATGTGAAAAATAGGAATTACTCCTCATGAAAGTCTTTAAAGTATGACAAATCTTATTCATGTATATTCTCCACATCAGTTACTTAGCACTTTAATATTAGGAAACAACTTCAGGCAATTTCCCCCAGTCTCTGTTTCTGCACGTCTTGCAGTATAGGCCCTGACTGCCTTAGTGGAACAAAAGTTACATTTCAAGAATGTTTGTAAAGTTGAATATTCTTTATCTGGAACTTTTAGGACTGGAAATGTTTTAAATTGGGGATTTTTGTGGATTTTGGAGTATCTGCATAGATAATAAGATATCATAGTGCTAAGACCCCAGTCTGAACATAAAATTCACTTATGTTTCTTATATCTTTTTCACGTGGCTCAAATGTAACTTTGTACAATATTTTTAATAATTCTGTGTATTAGACAAAGTTTAATGGTATGGAGTTTTCCACCTGTGGCATGACGTTTGCCATCAAAAAATTTGGATTTAGAGCATTTTAAATTTCTGATTAGGGATGGTTACCCTTTTGTACAGTCTGGAAAGATAAACCTTTGGTTCAAAGAGTGAGTGTGATTATTACCCCTTGTAAACCACATGGGTTCCCTAAACTCAAGGCTTCTCTACTGCAGGGAACCTCACTACCTGACCTGCTGTCTCTCTGTGTCATCGGGAGTTAGGATCAGGTAGTCAGTAGAAAAAAACAATGATACCGTGCCTACTGCTACTGCTCTGACTAAAAGGTCCTATGTCTCTGACCCAAGAATCTCTTGCCTTCTTCTAGTGCTCTATCTATGAAATTACAGACAACTATTATCTAGCAAACTTTTTACAGTTTTGGACATTAAGCTTTTACTTAGGAAATTATTTTACTGTTTCATTCCTTTATTTCCTCAGGTAGATATTTTAATTTAAATTATCACTAATAAGGAACATAAATCAACCTCTTTTTTTAACTTTTAAAAATGTTTAATTAACATAATAATTTTACAGTACGTTGATTTGATACATGTTTACAATATGTAAGGATGAAGTCAGGGTAATTATCATTTCCATTTCCTTAAATATTGATTATTTTGTGTGCGTGCCTTGCAAACTTTTGAAGCCTTTCTTCAAATTCTAATAAAATATATAACAGATTATTGAATACTATGGTTGCTCCTCTGTACTGTAGAAAACTGGGGCTAATTATTTTATTTAACTGTTTTGGTACCTGATATCCAACCACCCTCCATTTCCTATTTTGTTAGTTTATCAAACAAGCCATTACTTCCCCCAATTAAAATCCTGTCAGATCACACTTTTTATTTCTAAACCATTCAACCATGTTAATCATCATGATAATTACTGGCAAAACAGATATTTTTCCCAAATTAGTATGACCCCAAAATGTAGGGATTTCTCTTCTGTCACATTATGGTTTTTAAAGTGTTATCTAATAACATTTAATTATTATTAAGAAAATATTTACTTAGATATTAGAAAACATTAATCATTTGTTCAATTTGATGAGGTCAGGGGCAGGTTTTTTGAAAAACAAAAGTATTTAAAAGGAGTACCAAATACAACTTATCAGAAATTATTTTGCACATATACTGTATATGTTTTACAACTTATATTCTTATCAAAAACTGAAGGTTTACTTAGAGACTATTGAATGCTAGTTTTTAGCTTTTATATATTTCTATTCTCTAGCAATAAAATGTTTTCTCTGAGACATTCAGTTTAAGAATGAGTCACTTTAACCAAGAACAGTAAATTAATTCTTCTTAAGGCTAAGCCTTGTAAGTTAGTGTATAAGAATAGACATCTTTGAGATGTCTAAAATTACAAAAGTGCCCTCTAATGGCATAACTTTTCATTTCTTTTTGTTAGTTCTAGGCATCCAGAGCTTATTTAAAATTTAAGTTAAATAAAACTAATCAGAATTTCACTTTTGGCACCACTCTTTTTTCATGAGTATCTTAGGAACTATGTCTGTGGAGCAAGAAATCTTGCTTTTTACAATGGAGGCTGTAAGTCAAATAGAAGTAGACAGTTGCTAAAATGACTCAATTTTTTTTTTTAATTTTCTAGGCAGATCAATCAACTTGCTGCACATTTATTCACACCCAGAATAAATTATGTGATTTCCTCCTAATTATTGAAAATACTGACTTCCTCTGTGT